CAATAATCTTTTGCTTCATGATTGTTCTGTTAAGACCAGTAGACCCGGCCAGGGATTTCTTCATTATTGTTTGTCTTGGACCAGCAAAACTGAGTATTATGATGCTACTGTTCATTTTAATCTTTTTCAGTGGTAAAAGTTAAAAACCATTATGAAGATGTAGCTTGATGTATTATGTTTAAATGTATAAAAGGAAGTAGAACACTGATATGATAAGCTGAAAATTATCCCTTTTTATCTTCTGAAACAATGCTTAATATTAAAATTGTATAGTAAGAAAAACAGGACACTTTTTGGAAGTATTAGTTGCATAAAGCACTCAGGTAGCAGCAAGGTATATAAGTACATTTTGGAAAGCTGAGTAATTAAGCCTCTTACAGATTTCGGTATCATAGTCAACCACTAGCTCCCACTATGCCCTCCCAGAAGTGTAGCAAACCAAGATAACCTGATTAGATAAGGACATGGCATGAGATATATTTATTCAGATGTACTAGATGAAAAACTAAAGGATAATATTTGTGATGGAGGAATATGTGAGGAAATAGACAAATTTTGTTGGCAGTTATATACCCACAAAGCCATCTATTGAAAGTCAGCTGGACTGCAATGCTGTGAGCAACTTTTCTGGTTTGTAGCAAAACTAAGGCAATTCCAACCACAATAGTAAATTTTTTCTTGCTTCAGGAGGGTTTGAAAGTTTAATGTTACCTCCTTTTGCATTGATTTAATTTTGGGGCCCAGGATTGATGCATGATTAGGTGACACTGAAGGTTAATAGAGTGCAGAACTCTATTAGTGTTTGATATTAGGTATAAAGAGCTTGATCCTTCAAGGTGCTATGCACAGTCAACTCCCATTGACTTCAGTGAGACTTGAGGGCACCGGACAGCTCACAAGAGCGCTCAAAAAGCCTGATCCAAAGACTGCTTTGAATTTCCCCTTCAGGCTAGTGGGCATTGGATTAGGCACAAAGGCCCAGATCCTCAAAAGGTATTTAATCAGTGGGAGTTAAGCTCTTAGTCTCCTAAATACCTTTGAGGACTTGGGCCAAAATAATTATGATAGCTTGAGGGAATGTCTGGTGTTCTGATAAAATGCTATGATTGGAGACAGAAGGTGAAATGTTTGCCCCATTGAAGTCAATGGCAAAATTCTTATTGATTTCAATGGGACAAGAATTTCAGCAAGTGTATTCTTGATTGTGGTTAAGTGTAAGGGTGTGGACTCACCCCTGCGGCACCTCCTGTTGGTTGTCCTTGGGAATTAGCTCATTTTCCAGCCAGGAGCGCCCTCTGCAGGCCGGAGATCCACCTTACTGCTGGCCCCCGTGTCCCTCCCGGACCCAGTGCCCCTTTCTCTGGGGTGCTGTTCCCTTGACAGTAACCCCTTAGTCTCAGGGTCCCCCCACCCACTATCCCCACTTCGCCTCAGTCTTGGCTACTGCCAGTCCTCATCTAGCCCCCGTTCACTGGGGCAGACTGCAGTGTATAAGCCACTCATCACAGGCAAAGGGGTTTGGACCTGCTGCCTCTGGCTACCCGTGGGCTGCCCCCTGCAACCCAGTACCTAATAGGCCTTACCAGGCCTGCAGTCTGGGGCTTTCCTAGGCCGGAGCTCCCCAGCTCCCTTGGCCTTTCCCCAGCCCTGCTCCACTCCAGATACCTGGTTAAGCTCCCTGCAGCCAGGCCCTTCTCTCTCTGAATGCAGAGAGAGACTGTCTACTTGAGCGCCTGGCTCAAGCCTTTATAGGGCCAGCTGGGCCCTGATTGGGGCGTGGCCCCAGCTGAGCCTGCTTCCTCCTAATCAGCCCAGGCCTCTTGCCCTTCTACAGCCCTCCTCCAGGGCTGTTTTAAACCCCTCAGGACAGGAGCGGGTAAGCACCCCGCTACATTAAGCTCAGTCAAGATAATTGATTTGGGCAGATGGGACAACTAAAATTCATTACAGTATAATGTTAATACAGTAAAACCTCTTACCAAGATCCAGGTCTTCCTATCTGAAGTATTTCTAAAAAATTGATTGTTAGTGGGACTCTTACAGGGAGGAGCAAGAAAATATTGCCTTCACAAAAACGAGAGTCTTAAAAAAAAAAAAAAATTCACAATCTTAAAGATGTTCTAGAACTTTCACTTTAGTGCATATGGTCAGTTAATGAAAGCAGAAAGGGTGATTTTTAGCCTTTCCATTGAAAAACACTGAATAACTGTCATAGACAATTGTATGCCACCACCAGAATTCAAAAGCAATCCATGGCTGTTGAAGAGCACCTTCACCACTAGCGCCCTCCCTTGTGGCTGAGTGTGGCATAGCATAGCAGTTCTTTCCTATAGTGCTCCCACCAATCCTGTGCTGGTCTGTCTTTTATCACAACTCGGCCCTGTGGCCAGATAACCTTTTAATTCTACTCCTTCTGGGATAATGAAGTCCGACACAACATGAGTCCAATGTCCGTACATTAAGTCTTCACCCCAGCTTTCAACCCAGTGATCCTTGCATCTCAGGGCTCTCAGAAGTCATTCTTTTATGCCAGGATTACATACCACCTTCCCCAGTAGCTGGAAGGAAAACCCAAGCCCTGCCATTACACTGGATTCCAGTTGAGGACCCCTATAACTAGCAGCTAAAGTCTGCTCTGTTGGACACCTTTCTGCTGCCACCCTGGATTTCTTCTTATTGTAGCCTGTCAGCAGAGCTCTCCACTGAAATCCCCCAACAAAATCCCCAAACCAAAAGTACAAGTAAACCAATTTCTGCCCTCTTTAGGATTAACCTTTGATGCTTCTTAAGTTCCCCTGCTCTGGTCTCCACTGAACACCTACCAGGACTCTCTCCCTAGAAGTCCCAATCCTGTTCTTTTATCAGGGTTCATCATCAGAGTTTGTTCTACCCCAGCAGCTTCTCCTTGTCTCTCCTGGCCTCCTGACAGACTTCCCTACTCAAAAGAGGATGTAAGGACCTACTTTCCCCTGGACTTTCTCCTTGATCCTCCCAGTCACTACATTTGCTAGTGCCAAGAGAGGGACAGCAGAGTTCCTTCCTTTTCTCCGTATAGTCTCCTTCTGCTCCCAGTTTCTTGGCTTTATAATCACCACCCACTTCCTCCTCAGCTCAGTCTCACCCTAAACTGAACCTGGCCCAGCCTCCGGTGTGACTAGGGGGGTTAATTGGACTCTCCCATTCCAATTAACTCTTTCAGAACCAGATGGCATATATAGCTCTCCATAGTGGAGCTGCAACACAGCCAATCAACAAACATTCATTCTAGCCTATGGGCTGGAGTAGAAGCTATAGCTCTAGTATACCTCTATGTGGTAAGGTATGGGCCACTAGGTCTGTATAAGTGCTAATCACACAGCCCTTTTGATGCTTCTCTCTCTGAGGCCAAGGTCAAGCCCCACTATCAGGCTTAAAAAATGCACAAGGTATAGTGTAGGATCTCAGCACCTGGTGAACTTCATTCGATAACAGCAAAGCCTTGGAGTGGTCAATGCTAAAAGCAAAGAGCTTTAAATCACACTGTGGATGCCAAGACATATGCAAAGTAAGAGAGCAATGTTTTTAACATTATAATATTTCCATGAATGGATCTCTCTCTGCGTACTCCAGTATTTAAAAATAACACTAAAAAGTAGCCTGACCCAAATAGCCTGAAAAACAGTCTATGATTAAAACTTATAATTGATCTACGGTTGGAAAGTTAACTATCCATCTTCACTGGAATGGCATTTCCACAGTTCCCTTTATTAACTTTTCAGAACCTATTATAGAGACAGAAAACTACTGCTTCAAGAATTCTTTTCTATAATTAAAACTTAAAAGGGACAAACTAATGAGAGTATGGAGGAAAGATCTGAACTACCACCTCAGTGAAAAAATCTGGAACAAAGTGTGTAGGAATACAAATGCAGCCAATGACTGAAGGTTGAAACTTATCCAACAAAAAATCATCTTCAGAACATTTTGGGATGTGTGAAAACTACAAATGCTAGAACAGTGAAGAGGAAACTGGGGATCTCATCCATATGTTATGGAAATGCTACTGCCCACTAGTAAATTATTTCTGGAGAACAGAAGAAGAACTGCTAACATTGTTATAAACACAGGGCCTGCCTGATGATTAAAGGTTTTTTACCTGGGAGTTCTTAATGGTCAATTGTGGCCAATTAGATATCCTATGCCAAGAAATCATCTTTGATGTACAGTAGAATTATGACTGAGAAATATGGCATTATTTAGAAATTACCTTTAAAACAGAAAGACAGTCAACAGCCTCCTAGGAGGATGGGATCACTAATATGCAAGCTCAGAGATGCTCTGTACAGCAGGTGCAGTTAAAGAACTTTCCACTGGTGTAAAGGATTCTGCTAAATTCACAGATAATCCCTATCTTTGAACTTGGGAAGCTCATTGTAACCAGTAGAAATCTTTCAGACATTTTAAAGGCACCCAAATCAATATGAAAGTAAACTGAAAAACAAACAAACCTAAGGACCAGGTTCTGTCATTCTTACTTACAATTAGTAGAACCATATTCCACATGTAGACCTGTTGAGTTCAGTTGGACTACTCATACAGTCAGGTACTCAGCATGAGTCAGGGTAGTAGAATCTGGCTTTAAAGTTTGTATCCTTAGATACATTTTATAAAGGTAAGATGTGCTCCCATTTATTTGTTCTTATAATACAATAGCAAGGGGATATTGAATTAAATTGAAAGGCAACAAATTTAAAACTGATATTTTTAAAACACAATGCATAATTAACTATCATTTTATCCTTATTCCAAGATAACAGTTAGAACTTTATTATGAATAAATGACATTTAAATACAATTTTTAAAAGACTTTTGCTTTGAACCAACATTTTCTCTTCTTTGCGAAGTAATATATACATTTGCAGAAAATAATTCTCCTTGCTAGTAAGAGAGTCATAACACTTTGGATTTATTCCAGGTACTAGTTTTATTTTTCATTTCTTTATTCATTCTTTTTTACATAGTATTTGCGGAATTCAGCATCTGGAGCGAGCAGGAAACAAGTTGACTCTCTTTGACTCCCTTTATTTCTGCATAGTGACATTTTCCACTGTGGGCTTTGGGGATGTTACACCCAAGATCTGGCCTTCAAAACTGCTGGTTGTCATTATGATCTGTGTTGCCCTTGTGGTGTTGCCCATACAGGTAAACTCTGATTGTTTTCCATTTGGAAGAGTTGGGGAAGTTTTGGGGAAAAGACTGTATTATCTTGAAATATATCTTGCAACTGTCCTTACTGTGTATGTAATGTCAAAAAAAAAAAAAAGAGTACACCAACTTGTATGCTTCTTCATTTTATGCAGAGTTGGAGCTTTCTTATTTGTTTCCTTGTTTGTAAAATAAATGTGCATATGGTTTATATATGCTAAAATGAGAGGAGCTAACAAGTTTTCAAATCCTCGTAGAAGCTGCTGGCTCCCATCAGACACCAAAGAACATACAGACACTGTGTGTTGTCCAAATTTACCCTCATGCTGGGATTTACCTTTATTGTGAACTTAAATAATAGCAGCAAAACTAACCAGCAGCTAAAGCTTTCTCCAAACACTTAGCTATTCCTAGCATTTTCCGCTTCAGAGTGACACCTCAAGGGGAGAAAAGGGCTTTGTGTACTGGTCTGAGCACAGGACTGGGGGCCAGCTCTTATCATTGCTCCGACACTGAATCACTTAACATCCCTGCCTCAGTAGAATGCGGATAAGAAAACACTCCAGTCTCATTGGATTGTTGTGAACATTAGCTAGCTTGTATGGAGCTTCGAAGTTGAAATGGTATATGCATGGTGGTTTATTGGTACTAATTGTATATAAAACATGTGGACATTACTCCATTGAAGTAATGCTTTTATGTATTTAAATTATTCCAGGTACATTGCATATCATATTGATCCCTAGAGTTCCCTTTATTAGGATCTCAAAGCAGAATTTATTGTGAATCGGGGGATGCTGATTAAGGTGGTAGAGGGAAAAGTGCCACTTATTGAAGTCCAGTTCAACAGCTGCCATAGTCAATACCAAAAAACCAGCAGTTCTCCAGGAGCAGCAGGGACAGAACATGATGTTTCTTTTAGCCATATGTTTAAGTGATGCCAATATTTAAGGTGCAGATCAGACAGTAAGAAATAATATGCAGACTTCATTGTATCAAGAGTTGCCAACTTTAGATTTTTAAAAATCTCTGGGGAGAAACTGAGGCATTGTTCCATTATACATAAGTAATACATTGGTGTTTTTCTTGCAGTCCCATCTCTTGGAGTCGTGTAAATTGCAAATTAACCCTAAAGACTCAAATACCAGGAAAAAAATACATTTAAAATAATCTCATGATTTAACTCAACTTTATGATTTTTGAATGCTTGAGATTGGCCTATTGATGTATTATTGTGCCATCCCATCAGCCATCCCATCTGCTTAGTTGTAAATTGCTGCTCTTGGAAAGAAACAAAGACAAAGGGTGGGGGTTCTAAGTGTGTCTTTAATTCAATGAATGGATGGACTAAAGCATAAAATATAATTAACTCATACTGATAAAGATGCTTATATTGCACAGCTGCTTATATGTATTTCATTCACATTTGACAATATATTGCAGTTTGAACAGCTGGCTTATTTGTGGATGGAGAGACAGAAGTCTGGGGGTAACTACAGTCGACACAGAGCTCAGACAGAGAAACATGTGGTACTGTGTGTCAGCTCCCTGAAGATTGACTTGCTTATGGATTTCTTAAATGAGTTCTATGCTCATCCCAGACTGCAGGTATATTTACAATGCAAGAGTAAAATAATAAATTCAATTAGACATTGGTCACTCGCAGACAATCTTCACAAATGGTCTGTAATTTGTGTGTCTGAATTAAAGAATGACTGACTGACTGAAGAAAGTATAATTGTAAGAAGTCGCTCAGAACAAGTACGGGGTGCATTCATTTTAAATTTATCTAAATTGGATTAAACAGATAGAAATATGCTTGTGTCACACAGAGTCTAATTACTTTGATTATACCAGTTATCTTACAGCCAACAAATTTTGTGAAAATTCGTTTGGATTAACCCAATATGATGCGTAAAAAGAAAAAGATAAGAAAATTGGTCATTTCATGTTTTTCTGCTATTCTGGGGCCTCGTCCACTGAACTCAATGAGAGTTTTTAAACATAATTGTGATTGCTGCAGTTAAGACAGAACAGGGTATAGTGCAATGGACATAGCCTGATAGTCAACATTGCTCACAAGTGAAGAGTTTCTCAGCGTAAGCATTAAGAGAATTAGGGAATACAAAGAAATGTCTTTTTCATATGGCTGACTATATCCTAATCTGCTCTGTGAAAGTTTTACATCTGAAGGCGAGCCCTGTGTAAGCTCCAAAGCTTGTCTCTCTCACCAACAGAAGTGGTCCGATAAAAGATATTACCTCACCCACTTTCTGTGTTAGTCTGTATCAGCAAAAACAACCAGGAGTACTTGTGGCACCTTAGAGACTAACAAATTTATTTGGGCATAAGCTTTTGTGGGCTAGAACCCACTTCATCGGATGCATGAAGTGAAAAATACAGGAGCAGGTATAAATACATGAAAGGATGGGGGTTGCTTTACCAAGTGTGAGGTCAGTCTAACAAGATAAATCAATTAACAGCAGGATACCAAGGGCGGAAAAATAACTTCTGAAGTGGTAAGAGAGTGGCCCATTACTTCCATGTTATACTTTTGGCCTTCACAACATCCACTGGCAATGAGGTTGACTGTGCATTCTGTGAAGTACTTCCTTATGTTTGTTTTAAACCTGCTTGTAGCAAAGTGCAGCAGGGGCCCCCTTGGCTCCTGCTAGGTCCACAAAGTCACTCTGAAGCCCTGGGGTTAATAACCACTGATGCAGTTTATTCACAGACTTGTTCCTACCACTTTTCACTATGTACAGTTGGTTCTTCACTATCTGCAGTAAGTAAGGACAGAAGGGAGGTCCCTACTTCCACTCCTGCTTTTTCCCTTTGGCTTCCTTCCCCTGAAGCTTTTATACAGCCCCAGGCTAATTAGGTGACAGCTGTCTCTGCTTCCCCAATTAGGGCCAGGTTATTCCCCTAGAATCATAGAATCATAGAATCATAGAATATCAGGGTTGGAAGGGACCTCAAGAGGTCATCTAGTCCAACCCCCTGCTCAAAGCAGGACCAATTCCCAACTAAATCATCCCAGCCAGGGCTTTGTCAAGCCGGGCCTTAAAAACCTCCAAGGAAGGAGACTCCACCACCTCCCTAGGTAACGCATTCCAGTGCTTCACCACCCTCCTGGTGAAATAGTGTTTCCCAATATCCAACCTAGACCTCCCCCACTGCAACTTGAGACCATTGCTCCTTGTTCTGTCATCTGCCACCACTGAGAACAGCCGAGCTCCATCCTCTTTGGAACCCCCCTTCAGGTAGTTGAAGGCTGCTATCAAATCCCCCCTCATTCTTCTCTTCTGGAGACTAAACAATCCCAGTTCCCTCAGCCTCTCCTCATAAGTCATGTGCTCCAGACCCCTAATCATTTTTGTTGCCCTCCGCTGGACTCTTTCCAATTTTTCCACATCCTTCTTGTAGTGTGGGGCCCAAAACTGGACACAGTATTCCAGATGAGGCCTCACCAATGTCGAATAAAGGGGAACGATCACGTTCCTCGATCTGCTGGCAATGCCCCTACTTATACAGCCCAAAATGCCGTTAGCCTTCTTGGCAACAAGAGCACACTGTTGACTCATATCCAGCTTCTCGTCCACTGTGACCCCTAGGTCCTTTTCTGCAGAACTGCTACCTAGCCATTCGGTCCCTAGTCTGTAGCAGTGCATGGGATTCTTCCGTCCTAAGTGCAGGACTCTGCACTTATCCTTGTTGAACCTCATCAGGTTTTTTTTGGCCCAATCCTCTAATTTGTCTAGGTCCCTCTGTATCCGATCCCTACCCTCTAGCGTATCTACCACGCCTCCTAGTTTAGTGTCATCTGCAAACTTGCTGAGAGTGCAGTCCACACCATCCTCCAGATCATTAATAAAGATATTAAACAAAACCGGCCCCAGGACCGACCCTTGGGGCACTCCGCTTGAAACCGGCTGCCAACTAGACATGGAGCCATTGATCACTACCCGTTGAGCCCGACGATCTAGCCAGCTTTCTATCCACCTTACAGTCCATTCATCCAGCCCATACTTCTTTAACTTGGCGGCAAGAATACTGTGGGAGACCGTATCAAAAGCTTTGCTAAAGTCAAGGAATAACACATCCACTGCTTTCCCCTCATCCACAGAGCCAGTTATCTCATCATAGAAGGCAATTAGGTTAGTCAGGCACGACTTCCCTTTGGTGAATCCATGCTGACTGTTCCTGATCACTTTCCTCTCCTCTAAGTGTTTCATAATTGATTCCTTGAGGACCTGTTCCATGATTTTTCCAGGGACTGAGGTGAGGCTGACTGGCCTGTAGTTCCCCGGATCCTCCTTCTTCCCTTTTTTAAAGATGGGCACTACATTAGCCTTTTTCCAGTCATCCGGGACCTCCCCCGATCGCCATGAGTTTTCAAAAATAATGGCTAATGGCTCTGCAATCTCATCCGCCAACTCCTTTAGCACCCTCGGATGCAGCGCATCCGGCCCCATGGACTTGTGCACGTCCAGTTTTTCTAAATAGTCCCGAACCACTTCTTTCTCCACATAGGGCTGGTCACCTTCTCCCCATATTGTGCTGCCCAGTGCAGCAGTCTGGGAGCTGACCTTGTTTGTGAAGACAGAGGCAAAAAAATCATTGAGTACATTAGCTTTTTCCACATCCTCGGTCACTAGGTTGCCTCCCTCATTCAGTAAGGGGCCCACACTTTCCTTGACTTTCTTCTTGTTGCTAACATACCTGAAGAAACCCTTCTTGTTACTCTTAACATCTCTTGCTAGCTGCAACTCCAAGTGTGATTTGGCCTTCCTGATTTCACTCCTGCATGCCTGAGCAATATTTTTATACTCCTCCTTGGTCATTTGTCCAGTCTTCCACTTCTTGTAAGCTTCTTTTTTGTGTTTAAGATCAGCAAGGATTTCACTGTTTAGCCAAGCTGGTCGCCTGCCATATTTACTATTCTTTCTACACATTGGGATGGTTTGTTCCTGCAACCGCAATAAGGATTCTTTAAAATACAGCCAGCTCTCCTGGACCCCTTTGCCCTTCATGTTATTCTCCCAGGGGATCCTGCCCATCTGTTCCCTGAGGGAGTCAAAGTCTGCTTTTCTGAAGTCCAGGGTCCGTATTCTGCTGCTCTCCTTTCTTCCTTGTGTCAGGATCCTGAACTCGACCATCTCATGGTCACTGCCTCCCAGGTTCCCATCCACTTTTGCTTCCCCTACTAATTCTTCCCTGTTTGTGAGCAGCAGGTCAAGAAAAGCTCTGCCCCTAGTTGGTTCCTCCAGCACTTGCACCAGGAAATTGTCCCCTACACTTTCCAAAAACTTCCTGGATTGTCTGTGCACCGCTGTATTGCTCTCCCAGCAGATATCAGGGTGATTAAAGTCTCCCATGAGAACCAGGGCCTGCGATCTAGCAACTTCTGCTAGTTGCCAGAAGAAAGCCTCATCCACCTCATCCCCCTTGTCTGGTGGTCTATAGCAGACTCCAACCACGACATCACCCTTGTTGCTCACACTTCTCAACTTTATCCAGAGACTCTCAGGTTTTTCTGCAGTTTCATACCGGAGCTCTGAGCAGTCATACTCCTCTCTTACATACAACGCAACTCCCCCACCTTTTCTGCCCTGCCTGTCCTTCCTGAACAGTTTATATCCATCCATGACAGTACTCCAGTCATGTGAGTTATCCCACCAAGTCTCTGTTATTCCAATCGCATCATAGTTCCCTGACTGTGCCAGGACTTCCAGTTCACCCTGCTTGTTTCCCAGGCTTCTTGCATTTGTGTATAGGCACTTAAGATAACTCATCGATCGTCCCTCTTTCTCAGCATGAGACAGGAGTCCTCCCCTCTTGCGCTCTCCTGCTTGTGCTTCCTCCCAGGATCCCATTTCCCCACTTACCTCAGGGCTTTGGTCTCCTTCCCCCGGTGAACCTAGTTTAAAGCCCTCCTCACTAGGTTAGCCAGCCTGCTGGCGAAGATGCTCTTCCCTCTCTTCGTTAGGTGGAGCCCGTCTCTGCCTAGCACTCCTCCTTCTTGGAACACCATCCCATGGTCGAAGAATCCAAAGCCTTCTCTCCGACACCACCTGCGTAGCCATTCGTTGACTTCCACGATTCGACGGTCTCTACCCAGGCCTTTTCCTTGCACAGGGAGGATGGACGAGAACACCACTTGCGCCTCAAACTCCTTTATCCTTCTTCCCAGAGCCACGTAGTCTGCAGTGATCCGCTCAAGGTCATTCTTGGCAGTATCATTGGTGCCCACGTGGAGAAGCAGGAAGGGGTAGCGATCCGAGGGCTTGATGAGTCTCGGCAGTCTCTCCGTCACATCGTGTATCCTAGCTCCTGGCAAGCAGCAGACCTCTCGGTTTTCCCGGTCGGGGCGGCAGATAGATGACTCAGTCCCCCTGAGGAGGGAGTCCCCGACCACCACCACCCTCCTCCTCCTCTTGGGAGTGGTGGTCGTGGAACACCCATCCCTAGAACAGTGCATCTTTTGCCTTCCAATCGGTGGAGTCTCCTTCTGCTCCCTTCCCTCAGATGGGTCATCTAGTTCACTCTCCGCATTAGTACCTGTGGAGAGAACATGGAAACGATTGCTCACCTGTATCTCCATTGCT